TACCAAAAAGGACAGGTAAAGCTTTGGATTTAAAAAATAAATAGATAAATAAATTCTGTGCTCAACGAGGTAACAATTCTTACAGTATTCCTTCTGATAAAAGATACCAGCCTCCTCCTTTTCATGCTGAGGACCTGGAAATCCTCTATAGCACTAGAGCACTGGGTAGGGAGGACAAGGTGGAACATGAACTTCAACCTTTCCTTCGGAGACTGAGATTGCATATTGATATCTGAACACCTCTAAGTTTCCCTTTTTTCATTCAGTGTTAAGAATAGCCTTCTGTTTTCGGTCTCGCAGATTAATCACAGCACTGTGAATCATCCCCAGGCTGCACAAAGGAGGGCTGAGTGACTGACTGGTACAAACTCCCCCGGAGTTTTGAAAATAACAGCATCAACTGTTGCCACATCTCATCTGTAGGGCTAGGGGGGAAAAAAAAAAAAGGCAGCTTGCTTCTTACATTGAAATCTGTAGATAATTTTACCTTTCTTTTCTAGTTCTGTTGCTTCGTTAGCCTAATATCCTCACTCACCATTCAAGTACAGAAAGATACAAAAGTTACATAGAAGAAATATAAAGAAAATGACAACTAAATCTTCTAAAATAACATGAACCTATGTAAAGGCTGGGAGGCACCACGCTATTAGATGGAACAGCACTTATCTTTAATGAATCATACACTGTCAACAAAGAGAGACTGCAGCTCAATAGCTCCTGAAGGCTTAAGTACAGGTTTGGGAACAGGAAACTCCGAGTCATTCAAACACAAACTCCTTCTGCAGCATTCAACATGCTACTTCCAACTCCTTTGACTCGATCTCACTTAATTTTTATTCAGCTTGATTATTAAATATTACTGTTGAAAAAACAGGAGTTATTTTGTGATGTGACTCGCTGCATTACCAGAAAACAGCAATTTGGGCTGCCTCCCACCTTGATCTGATATGAAGAGGAGGGACAGAATCTGGAATCGTTAACGCCTTTTGTTTCTTATAACGTGCAAAAACACCTGAAATACTTCCCAAAAGAAATTCAACCAGTTATTTTTAAATATTAAGAGAAAACAAAAGAGGAAAATGTTTTTCTCAACCTGACATTAATACGCATACAAGGCTTAAGACAGCTGTAGATTCAAATGAAAATCAGAATCCTTACTCAAAGGAATACGAAAATTATTCTCAGTGCAGCAAAGACAGGCACATCTCTCATTAGCCCTCGCGCTTCTAATTTGATCCTCAGACATGACAAAAGCCAGAATCCAGGCTCTGTTCATCCCTTCTGGCACTGTTGCATAATTTGTGCCAGAAGAGCTAACACACTTTCATACATCAGCGAACAAACTCTGATGAGAATTTTTAGCCCTGCAGACAGGCTGCTAGCATATGACTCACAAAGCTATTTTTTCAAGCAGCACCTCTAGCTGGCCAATCTAATCCAGAGACACCGCTTTAACTTTTGTATGAAACAGGCGCTTCAGAAGGCCACACTGTACCTCTCTATGGCAATAACGGGACCCAGTCCACAGGCAGGGCTCAGTGACACCTGTGAACAGCAGTGCCATTTTTATTCACTTCTCTTCTAGCAGTTGCAGGAGAGGTTTGTGACTTCTCTTCAGTTTGTTGCAGAAAGGCTGAAGAAACTCAGCAGAGGCGCTGGAGGTAACAGACAGAGGAAACGCTTTCATCCATGTCTAATAAGATATCTTGACAAGAACCATAAAAGCAAATTCCTGCTACTGAAGTAGAATAGCTTGAATGCTACCTGTAAACCTCTCATGTGACCAGCAGCATTCCTTTTCTTAACTTCTCCTTGCTTTAAGAGAACACTGCCCACTTAAGGAGCTCAGGAGGCCACAGCTGTACCTGAACTCTTACTGGGTTAGGACTTCAGTGCTTCCTTTCTCTAGTTATGCTACTGCACATCAGCTAGAGAACAAGGCCTGGTACTTGTTGTATATTTGTTGTTGTATATGTGTACAGTTCATTTCACTTTCGGGTTCTGGTACTTTAATGCAACACTATAAATGTGTGTCACCTTCAGCTCGGGATTTATTTCATAAAGATCATTCAGAACCATTCAGAACTTTTATCATATAGGTCTGACTTCTTCATAGCCACTTTAATCATCCAAAACTAGCAATTTCTTTCATTTCAGCAAACTAATTCACTGATTAGACCAAAAAAAAAAAAAAAAGAAAACAATCCTCAAAGCACAGGATTGTGCACTACTGGATAGTGCTTTGTTTGCTAAAACATGCATATACAAAAGTAATGTGACATATCTAAAACCAGCTAGTTAATGGAATAGTATCTCTAAGCAGAATAATTCTGGAGAGGCTTTTTAAGGCTTATTTTGATTAATTCTACACAAATATAAGTGTTGTATATCACCAAGATCAGCTTTATAAAGGAAGGCAAGGAAAAAAAAAAAGACTAAAAGGGTAAGGAAAGAGGAAGGGGAACACTCTGTGTGGCTGCCAGCACCCAGCAGTAATCCAATTCAGTGGGCTAAAATGCAGCCCCAGCCTCAGTGTGGTGTTACCTTGTTTGGCCCATAGCACATCCCAGGTTGGAAAGGTTCTCACCAGGAACACCATGCTTCGTGTGTTCTTTTAAAAACTCATCGTATCAACATCAGTTATTGCCAGACTATACCTACTCAGCATTTCAAAATGCAGTCAAAAAGAAAGAGTTTAAAGGGACACACTAAAGTACCTAGAGCAAACGAGAACCTTAAACCCAACGTTATGGCTTTATTAATATGCTGGGTGTGAGAATCCAAACAAAACCTGGTCCTTTGGAAAGGTATCACCATGCAGCCACCTGTTTATACAAAAATAACACGAACAAAAAGAGGCAGGTTTATCTGATGTTTTCCACCAGTAATTGCAATCCAACTTTGCAGGAAAACTAAACCCCACTGCTGTGTGAGCCTTTTTCACTATAGGGATTGTGATCCTACCAACTCCAGCCTGAAAGATCCAGTTCTTTCCAGCTTTGTCTCAGACTCATAAAAATCAAATCACTTTCTCCCCACCCCCAAGCAGTTTTGATCAGTTTTTCCTTAGTAAACCTGTATAAAGCCTTGGAAGACAGACACCAACTTCAGCACCAAGAGAACTATTTCTAGGATGTACCGTCCAATTGCTACACCTAATTACTGACTCACTATAACAAGACTCAGGTGTGTGAGGTCTCTCTGCTCCATTGGCTTTTCTTCCCTGGAAGCCCAACAAAGGGACGCAGCACAAGGGACTTTTCAAACAGTAGCAATTATTTCTCTCAAGAAGTAAGCAGGGAAATAAAAGGTGGCACTGCCTTAGGCTTCAGCCCTAAAACAAACCTTCTTAAAATGATGAATAAATAACAATTCTGTGGTGTTCATCAGAATCGTTTTGAGCACTAAGGGAGGGGAGGGCAGTAAAAAATAAGCAGGCGATTTAGGGATTTACGCTATGAAAAAGAAGCGTCACAGTCGTCCTACTGAAATTAACAGAACGAAACAGAAGTAGACAATTGTTTAACCTCTCAAGGAAGCGTTATGCACAAAACTCACATTTAATACTTTCACTAATTACTCCGGCACACGTGGGAACGCACTGATTAGAGTTGGTAGCAATACAGTCAGCAGAAACCACAAGAGGCCCGAAATTAAATAGTGCCACATGAAAACCATACAGTGAGGCCACGTACTTGAAAATTAATTTAAAGAACTTCCGATATGGGTCCATCAATTAGAAATGAGTGGAGAGAGGAGCCAAGCGGTTAGCCTAACCGCAAGGAAACAACGTGGGGCAGCCAAGGAAGGCATCGGGAGGAGCATCAAGCAGAAATAAGCAACTATTATGTCACTTTCAGGGCACCCCCGGGGCTATCTGCATTAAGAGATATCTGCACCATCTCCATTTGAAGATAGCAGCTACTAGAATATGCTGGGGGGGGGGGGGGAACAGCAGCTATTAGGCTGCAACAGAGCATATGGGGAGGAAATAAATGAACGCTGCTGATAAAGAAGGCACAGTGAATAAACGCTGCCGAAGCAAACAAGCTGTGGAGGCGACGCTCAGCGCCAGCACAGGTGCACAGAACCGCCATGAGCTGCAGCCACCGACTTCCATGTCAGCTCCCAGCACAGCCGCACGGCTCGGCCCCAGCCCGCTGACAGCGCAGCGGTGCAAACGGCCTTAGAGCTGAAAAACTTCACTAGGAGATCCAAACGAGGCCAGCTGTTGGGCCGGCCGCACCTCGCGGGGACACGAGCGGTAGGGCGGTCGGCGGTCGTGCCGCGGTGCAGCGAGCTGTAGGATGCCGCCCTGCCCGCCGGGCCGGCCGCTCGAGGGGCTCTGCCCGTCAGGCGGCTCCGTGAGAGAGCAACAACCACCCCTCTCCTCAGCCCCCGAACGGCCGGCTCCCCACCTCCTTTATATAACCGGCAGGGCGGCAGCCGCCGCGTTACACAACGGCGAGGGCAGCGGGGCCGGCTCGCTGCGCGCGTTCCCTCAGCGGCGGAGCACCGCGCCTCACGGCGCCCGACCGCCCGCGCGCTGACAGAGCGGGACCGGCGGCGCCGCCATCGCGGCCCCCGCTCCCCTCAGCGCCCGCCTGTCAGCCCGCGGCGGGAGCGGCCCTCCCGCCCGACGGCCACCGGCCCTTCCCCTCCGCAGCGCCTCAGTCCCGCCGCGCTCACTCACCATCGCGGCGCTGGGTGCCGGCGGCGAGCGCCCAGCCAGCCGGGTCCCGCAGCTCGGCTGCCTGGTTGTTTTTTTTTTTTTTTCTCTTTCCTCCCTCCCTCCCGGTTTTTGCCCCTCCCGACCTGGAAGTGAACGCTCGCAGCCGGCCGGGACGCAGCGCCGATCCCGCCTCCCTTAAAGGCGCCGCGCAGGGCAGCGCTGTACGCTGTACGCGTTTCCTCCCGCAGCGATCTGCTCCGGCGCGGTCGGGTTTGCTGGAGAGGAGCTTTGCCAGCAGCTTTCGCACTGAGTAATTTCAGGCTTCGGATACAGTAACAGCGATAAAAACCCCTCCCGACGCGCAGGCACTGTGAACGCGTTTGTTGCCAGCTGGCAGCACAGAGGTAGCAGCGATACAATTACTCTGCCCAGGTAACGCGAACGTGGAGAGTTCGCAGTTACACCTTGGGAGGAGTTGCTTTGTACAACGTTCGCTCGCAAACCAGCGAAGCGACACCAACGAATAACCCCAACCCACCACGGCCGAACGGCTCCACGCTGCAATGCCGGAGGCGGCCAGCAGGGGGCGCCGCAGCCCGGCCCGCCATTAGCGCTGCTGGCGGCGCTCCGGGTTCCTCCCGCGCACAAGGTTTAACTGAGCTTTGTTCGGCCTGACAGCTCCACGTTACCGCACTGAAACCGCCTCCCGTTTACACAGCTCATCTGTGCCGCGGAAGGGGCGGCCGCACACGGCGGCGCGGGGCAGGCGGTCCCGGCCCCACCTCCGGGCGGGCGGTGACGGCCATCGCCGGGGGCGGCCCCGCAGCATGGCCGGGCTGATCGACTTCGGGGACGAGGAGGAGGTGAGGAGCTATCTGGAGAACCTGCACGTCGAGTACAGCTACCAGTGCTTCAAGGAGAAGGACCCCGAAGGTAAGCGGCTCTCCGGCGTCCCTCGCCCCATTCCCCGGCCCGGGCGCGGCTCTGACGGTGCCTTGCAGGCTGCCTGCGCCTGGCCGACTACCTGGACGCCGTCAAGAAGGACTTCGAGGCGGCCGCGCGGGTGCTGAGGGACAACTGCGAGGTGTACGGGCACGGCGAGAGCTGCTACAAGCTCGGGGCATACCAGGCCATCGGCAAAGGTGCGTCCGGTGCTGCGTCGCGGCCCTTTCCCCTTCCCCCTTTCCTCTTCCCCTTTTCCTTTATCCCCCTTCCTCTGCCCTTTCCACCCCTCTGCCCGGGCTCCGTTCAGCCCCTCAGCTTTTTGATCCCAACACCCACACGTCCTGCCCCTTTTATTGCCCTAATAAAAGCAGGGAAGGATGGAAAACCTGAAGTTAAAGCCTTAAGTTAATCACCCAAAGAAAGAATTTCAGGTTAGCCACGTGTGTGATGTTTTATGTGTGTCTGCATAAGCAGCAAGTGTGTAAGTATATCCGATGCTGAATGCTGCTGTGTGCCCTTTCCTTAAAATCTGCATTTATTCCATTTGTTTATATTACAATGTCTGCATAAACTAATTTGGTCACCAGGAAGTGGAGGAGGGCCTCCTAAGGTTAGCAACGTGGCCTCTGAAACCCTAAATTTTGATTGTAGTGCCTGAAGTGAGGGCTGCTATCTTTCCCAGAGAGAGCAGTGCGGAGCAGAAAGCTCCCATCCATTTGAAGCTGTCCTTGCAGTAACCTTGGTTTCTTGTTGCACAGGTGGACTCGCTGCAGACTTGAAAGCTGCCTACAAGTCTTTCTTGAAGTCATGTGAGCAAGGTGGGAAGAAGTCAGTGAATGCCTGTCACAGCGTTGGCCTGCTGGCCCACGATGGCAGAGTCAACGATAATAAACCTGACCCAGTTGTTGCTAGAGACTATTACACAAAAGCCTGTGATGGCAACTTTGCTCCTAGCTGCTTCAACCTCAGTGTAATATACCTCCAAGGAGCAGCTGGGATCCCTAAGGACATGAATTGTGCTTTGAAGTACTCACTGAAGGGGTGTGAGTTGGGTCACGTATGGGCTTGTGCCAATGCCAGTCGAATGTACAAACTAGGAGATGGTGTCGAGAAGAATGATGGCAAGGCAGAGGATTTGAAAAACAGGGCAAAACAACTGCACAAAGAACAGAAAGAAACCTCGAGTTCTTTAACATTTGGGGAGTAAAACTGTCAGTCACACTTAAGACTGCGGCTTTAAGTGTCAGGTGAACTTGCATTTTATATCTCATGAATACACAGTTTTCACTCAATAAGTATCTTAGAAGTATTTGTGTATGCAAATACATGTATATTTTTGTGGATGCAATAAACATGACCAACTCTGTGGCTTTCTACATTATTAAATGCATACTTAAAATATTCTTAAGTGTATTGTTTACATCTCACTCCAATGGAGGAGAAATTCTTCTGGCCTATTGGGAGTTTGTCCCCACGGTTTCAAGTATGGAAGGCTCTTTCCTGTCTGCTGCTTCAGTACTGAGGCTTGTGTTAGGAGCAGTTCCAACACACTCACGTCCATACACTCATTCCTAATTTTGTTATCTTTGGATACAAAAATACTGTCCTCTGCTTGCACATCAACTCTGTTAGTTGTGAGATGTTCCTCCAGGCTGCTTGTTGATCCTAGACAGTGCCTGTTGCTGTCTCTGGTGATTATAGGTCTATGTGAATGTTTCTCTGGTTAGTTTAGACCTACAAGCATTTAAGTCATGTCCAGGTGATGCCAAGCCCAAAAAAGTAATGTGTCTGCATGAGAATACATATATAGATTTATAGATCTTGCAAATGAAATAGGCAGGAGAGATGAGAAGCAGGAACAAAAGGAACTTAGGTTTGTTGAGCAGATGAACTGAAGGGGCAGAGTTTAAGAGAGAGGCTGTAGTAGAAAAAGTCAAAGAGCTAGGAACTGACCTACTGTGGAACTGCAGGTAAGTGTCCAAGACAGGAGATTCCCTTGGACAAAGCATACAAACATGTCAAAAACCAGAATATTGTTTTCAGTGCCTTGCCAACTGGTTTGTCACTGTGTATCTGACTTCCATGTCTACTTGGCTGCTTTAGGATCACTCTCCAATGCACAGTGATCACTCGTTGCTCAATTACACACCAATTGTTTTTAGTTTCCAGCCAGCTCTCTCTATATTTTTTGATAGATCTAGGAAGCACAGTGCCAACTGATTACATGTTGGACTCCAATTAAATAAAATCATATAGCTTACATATATACAAACCATAACTGAAACAGTCTAAATATGTAGGGCAGTATCTGTAAATAGACAGTTTTATGTATACATGTATGCAAAACTTGTGATACATGTGTGTAGACTTTGCTGCAAAGGTACAACTGATTCAGAACATGAAAGCTCTGGCTATGGCTTGAATAAAGAGACAAGCTTGCTATTAAAATAAATTGAGTGAAACGAACACAAATTTGGTCACAGCCTGAAGGTATACACGGCAGAATAAATGGCTAAAGAATCTCAATGTGTACTATTTCAGACAGATCATGTGTGAATTACAGTAGTTCGTCCAACTCAACTGTACTTGCAACAGATTTCTTGCAAAACATTCCTTGCAAGGGATATGCTTGCTGCTGGAAAAAAAATCACAGAGGCAGAGTGATAAAACTGGCATGCTGGAACGACAGATGGCAGTATTTGTAAAATGTTGCATACCTTAGGTATAAGGCTCTTTGCTCTGCTTTTAGCAGCCTGCAAAAAAAAAATCAGTAATGACAAAAGCGAGATTATTTTTTCTGTTAAGTCAGTTAATATTTTGTGGCATTTCAGGAAAGTTTCAGAAGAAGACATGGGAAAGGTTACCTGTGCACTAAATGTGGCATTCCATTAATAAAACAGTTTGCAAGCTCTGTGTTCAAGAGTAAGCAATTACAGGTAACTCAAGGCATTGGAGAACAGAGTGAAATGTTGAGCTTCTGAGTTCATAACACTCACTGCCTCTGAGCACTTTGCTCAGATCCTTGATCCAAATGAATCTGCCATACTGGTACAAGCTTTATTCCAATTATCAGTGTTTGCAGTACAACAAGCAGGGACTTGGGAACATCCTGAATAAAACTGACACACATAGCAGATAATTAAAGCCACATATAAACTGCACACTGAAGAGATTTGTAGTTTGTTGGGTTGGTTTTTTTTTATAGCATGTGAACAGAGTTTAAATATTATTAACTTTGCATATAAAAGGTGTCAAGTGTGTTAGTATATATAAGTTTGTGAAGCATCATCCAATTTTGTATCTCTAGTTTTGGCAAGCCCAAATTAAGGAAATTCTGTTATACTAAAACATGAGAGTGGTAAAGTATCGAATCTGATCAGCCTGCTGCATTTCAGCATGTTATAAATTATACAAAATTAATGATGTTCCCAGCGATCTATTCTCAACCTAGAAATGGTGTTCATGAGACATAATCAAAATTGGCTAAGATGTGAAAATTGCACTGTAAATCTTGGCTTATAACCATCTTGCTCTGATATTACAAGGGTATTATCAAAAGGCCAGTGCTCCTCCTCTTTCTTTCTTTTTAACTGATGTTACAAAGGCTAAATTTTATGTCCTCTTGGGAAGAAAACTATTCCTCCAACTCCTCTGAGGTCATAAAGTGTGATAGCTCCATGGTTATAATAGTGTACTTAGAAATATGGAACACTTGTTGATCTTTTCAGGATTGGTGGATCCTCTTAGGAGTAAAGCACTTTAACTCAGTCTCACAGCTTGCAAACCACTCTGTTTTCGTTTTCTCTCATTTGTATTGATTTAAGCACACAGCCAACTTCCTTTAATAAAGCAGCAATGTACTTGAAAAGGAATTGTGACCAATTTTAATTAGTTAAATACACTCTCAAATATGTAGTTTTAAATCACGAAAGCATTCACAACAGGGTGCCTCCTGCAGCTGTGAAAAGATTGCTAATGGAGTGCTGTTCTTGTGCTGATATTTGAAAAGCACTGCTGCCACATCCTGTTGTGTCCCAAGTGTCCTTTGTATTTATTCTGGACAAAATAAGCTGTCAGGTAAAGAAGCTGCATGATGTTATGTAAACAGAAAAGGACTTGTTCTGGTGGCTCTATTTCTGCATTGCATTGTAAAAAACAGCTTTGCAGCTTGCCAGACTGTGTACAGCTGCCAAAAAGGACTTATTTCTGCAGTGTGTGAGGGTAGCGTGTGAGCATTCTTAGACATGTCCACACCCACTGGGATGGTCTGGGAGACTCTGCATGTAAATCATTGCACTGAGAAAGAATACCATCTTCAAACTTTGTATTTGATATGGAAAGAAATTCAGTCTATTGACAATTTTTCACTATCATGAGACTGAGAGAGAGGAACTTGCCCAGGTAGCTTCTCTCTGGAGGTGCAACGTCCCTGGAAAATATCTCATTGTCTATCATGCTCTGACTTTCCAGATGCTGTATCAATAAGATGGCCCAGAATCTAAACAAAACAGATTTCTCCAAGACTCTTAAGACTTTAACAATCTAATTCTGTACGAAATTTGTGATGTCTAATTTCTTATTCCATATCTGTAGCCTCCCAATGCTTTTATATTCAGCATCCACTCTTGTAGCAAACACTATAACCACTAACTATACTAATTTTAGATACTAAATCACATATATCTAGTTTGTTGTTATTGTCTTCTACTCTAATACTAGTTACAATTACCAGTGGTATATTAATTCCAAATATAGTGCTTTATACATCTTCCTTTGTTTTACAGTCTTGTTTGTAGTATGGGGATTGGTTTGGTAATATAGTCTGATTTGTTATTCTTTCTTCCTCTAGATCAGCCAGTAAAAAATTCGTGCAATGTGGATTTGTAAAATTAAGACCACTTTGGAGAGGTGATTTCAGATGGGGATTTATGAACAGCATGATAGTAATGCATACATATGCTCATAATCATGAGTATAGTCGGAGTTCTCATCCTGTTAATGCAAAACTGAAACGTGGTGCTTTAAACATACCCTCGAGAGTTTTTCTTAGCAGCTGAAAGCCATCTGATAGAACAAAAGAAATGAGAACTCCACATTTGTACAGTACTGTCACCCAGAGCATTTTAGTGCACTTTAATCACCACAAACACAGAACTGCTTCTCAGGTCGTGGAGCCATTACATACCAGGCTGCAATAGGAAAGCCGCAGAATAAAACTGTTAATTGTTTGGCCACTGTGTAATTTCCTAACTTAAAGATGAGGCCATTGTGAACTTATGTGAAACATTCCTTATTCTGTAAGCTCTCTTTTGGCACTTAATAGCTTGGTCTGAGCATTTCATTATCTCAGGATAAACACTGGAAAGAAGTGAGCTGATTTCCTGCCAGCTCTCCTGTAACTGGAAGCACTCCATGTTCCTATGGAGTTTCCTGCCCAAGAAACTAGTTGCTCAACAATAGCTTTACAATAACTAGTGCTGCAAACTCCTGAGAAGAAAACCTGTATTTTCACTATTGTATTGAAATGAAAACAAGCATTGAGTGGTTATTGACTTAATTAAGGTTACACAGTATCACAGATGGCCCAAACTGACTATTCTCCAAACAAACAACATTTAGCATGGCAAGGATCTGTTAGTTCTTTACAAGCCAACAAACACTAAAATGGGAAACTTGCCTTTGAATGTCTTTCTGATAATATCTGTGGGATGCTATTCTGTAAAGATGCAATAGCCACCTCAGCATGAGTGTTTGTTATTAATAGCAGCTGAAAAGAAGATAAGAGGCTGTGAGACTGTCAACATTGCAAGCAGCTTTTTGTGGCTGTTATCTTTAGGGAAGTGGTGGGCCTTTCCTCTATGGCATTGTTTGCTCATTTGTTCTGCAACTGGGACAAAGGAAACACGTAGTATCTTACTTTAAAGGTAAGCTGAGATAGAGCAGAGCTAGCTGTCACAGTAATGCAAATGTCCCTTAAACTGGCAATTTCAATTAATATTTTGCCTCAGCATCTCACAGCACTGAGCCCAGAATACTTGCTGTCATCCCACATGTTGATACCTTGCAATACTGCAAGAGCTTGGTGCAAAACTGTAGAAAAGTTTTACATTTTAGAAGGATCTCAGAAACACTATCCTCTGGAGAACCAAAGGTGAAGTCCTCTGTCAGACTGCAATGACAGCATTGCACACAAGCTGGGAAAATGGCATTTAGAGGCAAGCAAAGACACCTGGTGCTCTGGAGCCTACTGCTAATGCTACAGAAGAGCAGTGACCTTCATGCTTCGCTTAGCACTCTTGAAAGGCATTAACATTGCCTGGGGACATAAAGGGACAGAAAAAAATTAGTGACATCTTTTCATGTTCAAGAATGA